TCCTCTCCTCCAAGTGCTTCAAAATGGATTCCTTGAGGACCTGCTCCATGATTCTACCGGAGACTGAAGTGAGGCTGACCGGTCTGTAGTTCCCCGGGTTCCTTTCTTCCCTTTTTAAAATATGGGCACTATATTTGCCTTTTTCCAATTGTTTGGGACCTCCCCCGATTGCCACGACTTTGCAAAGAAAATGGCCAATGGCTCTGCAATCATATCAGCCAACTTCCTCAGCACCCTTGAATGCATTAGATCTGGACCCATGGACTTGTGCACGTCCAGCTTTTCTAAATAGTCCTTAACCAGTTAGTAGGAGTCAGAGTTCTGCTATCCAAGAGTAGTCTGGACTTAATGCTAAAAGCCCCTTTAAATGTGATTTGCAGCACTTTGACTAAAGGCTTTTTGGGCATCTTGCACTCACCTCATCCTAGATGAGGACACCAGCAAATGAGTCAGATCCTTGGCACTGTTCTACCTGCTCTGCACTATTCCAAGTGAAGTGACAGGCCAGGACATGGAACAGAATCACGACTGGTAGTGCGGATGAACAATCTCTTGCTATCTATAGATGAAGGGACAGTCATACTCTTGGATCTCACTGCAGCATTCAATATGGCTGATCATAGACTACTACTATCCAGCCTAAGAGAAGTAGCAGAGGCTCAGGCAGAAGCTCTAAAATGGTGTGAAACATTTGTCAAGGGCTACACCCAGAAGGTAGTGATGGGCGTCTGTGCCTCTGAGGCCAGAGCCCTCATCCGTGGAGTACTATGCAGTTCCCTTCTCTTCCCTTCCTCTTCAATATTTACATACAGCTGCTCAGAGAAATGGAGAGATTTAATGGGCTCAAATGCCAACAATATGCAGAACACACACAACTCTACCTATTGTTCACAGCCTACAATATCACCACAGTCAAAGACAGTTAGGTAACAAAGATCAGCACATGGATAAGGTGGACTTGGCTGAAGCTAAACTCTAGCAAAAAGGAGGTTTTGCTTGTAGACAGAGAAACACTTCAAAGAGTTTTTTGCCACAGTGCTGTCTCTAGTGGAGGAGGAGATATTCCACATATCATCAAGGCATTCTGTAGTGTAGTAATCTTTATAGACAACTTTCTGATTCTGGACTGGCACATAGCAAGAACTGTCTACAGTCAAGTTGATCTCCCCTCTCTGACTGGCTAGGGCCTGTACTTTTTGGGAATAACCTGTCTTGAATCATACCACACTTCCATTATCTCTGAGCTTGATTACGTCATGCAGCTTACATTGGGCTTGAAAGCATCAGGCCTGAAAAAAGCTGCAACCAATGCAGAATGCTGCAGCACGCCTCCTCAGTAACCCAGGTTACTGAGAAAACACAATCTGTACTTCTTTAACTTCAAAGCCTCTCTAGAAAACATCAATTGAAGTTTAAATTCTCAGCTGTCAGTTTTAAGGCTATAAAAACTGACATGGTCTGGTTATACAAGATCTTATCCTCCAGGACCTTGACCACGCTCAACAGCACCCTCAACAGCTCTGCTCCTCAGAAATGATGGCTTTGCATACTTCAGGGGTGAAGCTTATAAGTGCAGGAAACAAGATTTTTTGAGGGCTGGCCCAAGAGTGTAGAATACACTCTGGCAGAAACTAAGAATAACCACAAACCTTATAATCTTCCCATTGACAAGAAAGACTCGCTTCAACACGGGTTTCCTGGATAGCAACCTACAGCATATTAGTTTTTTTTGTTTGTTTTTTTTTTAAGTAGAAGACATAAACCAAATCTAACTTTTCCCCTTTGGAGTGAGGAGGATAGATGGAAAATGGTGAGAAAACATCATTTGATTGACATTAGTAACCATGCTTATTTTTTTTAACTTGGAAGGCACTAAGATACAAGTGTAAACTTAAATCAAAAGGAATACAGAAATAAAAATAGTTTAATAAGCATTGCATCCACTAGATATGAATGGCATCCAGTTGTTGAGTGTGTGCACATTATGGGTGAAATTCGCCACATACCAGATGCCTTGCACTTAAGCCCTACTTAAATTCTTAATGTGGGGTTTAAATGTTGCATGGGGTCTTGAGTGGGCCCTCTTCAGCAGCATGAATTTCATCTTATGTGGTTTTCAGAGCTTGAATACTTTGTTGATTCTATAAGGTCTTTTCAAAATTATACTCTTAATGCCAAAAGCTATTGCTCCTTGTTATGGATTTGAATTACACAAACACAAAAATGTATCTGAACTAATTTTTTCAATGCATTTGGATTCCTCAAATGTCTGAACTATTTTTTTAAACAGAGAAAGATAAAAAGAATCTTGCTCTCATTCTATGATGCTAATACAGAATTCCAGCAGGAATGGAATTTTTCAGTCAAGTTTTAAACACCTGAAAAAAACTGTAAGAGGAGCAAAATATTCATTTTCTGAATTTCCTATATATTTTACTTGGAAATTTATCATGCCTTAGTTTAATAACATTATATTTTTTCATCAGACAACTTTACTTTATAACAATATAATTTTTTTAAATATAATGTAGGTTTTAGTTTCAATTAAAAGGGGGGGGGGGAAGAAGACCTTATAGAATCACAACACACACCAATGCTGGAACATTGCCATCAACTTGTATGGGATCATGTGGTTCACTTGTTGAGACATGTATGCGTGTTTCAGTTAAACCTCTTGAGATATACACCTTATATTTGAGACACCTGTTCTGAAGATCTTTTAGAACTTCAGTTAGAATTGCTGGAAACGGAAAGAAACTGATCTGATAATGAAATGTAGTTTAAGTATGTTGCACCTATTTTTACATTTTTCTGAACTGATCAATCAGATGAAAACCAAAAAGTACACTGAGTCCACATATGCAGGAAAAAATTCAGTACAGGTTAGTGATGAAAACACAACTTGCTACACATGCTGTAAACTGGTATTCTAAACACACACAAAAGTGTTTCAGGGATGTTCTCAATCCTTCAGTTACTCACCCTATTGGCCTTCCCCTTTAAGACAAACAGCACATATTCAAGTGCTGTTTCCTTAGACCTATGCTGTACAACCAAGAGCACCAAAATACTTGTGACTTAACTTTCTTACTACAAATGTCAAAAATATAAATACATAGCAAATCAAAATGTTGTAAAACTACTATATCCTCCTCCTTTTCTCTGATTTATCTATTGCGAAATACTCAAATCACATACTTACATAAATCATAATGTTAACAAACCAAGAAAACCGACTTCTCTTCACTATAAGAAGAATGTTTTAGAGTATGTATATTTTTCAGTATCGAATGTTAAAAACTTTTTTAGCAAACACACAGTATATTAATTATTTAAATCTACTAGCTGTTCAAACAGCTATGAAAGTCTATGTTAGTAAAAATGACTGAAGTAGACACGATCATTTGCTGCATATTTAATGTATTTATAATAGAGACAAAAATCAAAAGTATAGTAAAGTTAATAACTGAGCCCAATCCAAAGTCATGGTTTTGTACAAATTTATACATATGGAGCTATTTAGAGCCAAGCTTAAAAGCTAAGCCACCTGTCTCTCAAACTCATGCTTGCACACATACCAGGTTTATAGTACAATTTGGTTCAGCTGCTCAATTTTATCAGCTAGATTTGAAAGGCTGATGGTATATTTTAAATAAGAACAGTAAAAGCAGGTGAAATTACACTGATAGAGCTCTGAGAAAGCACAGCATGTATGGGATTCTTCCTAAAAGTGGGGGAGTCACGAGACCCTGCCCCTAACCCTCCTTTTCCCTTGGAGGCCCCGCCCTGCAGCCAAGCTGGAGCTGGACCAGGAAGTCCAGGCCCCTCCACCTGCCTGGGGTTGGGTAGGCCTGAGAGCAGCCCCTGGCCAATTGTCACCGTTCCCCCAGACCCTCCGCTCAGGGCAGGTGGAGGGTCCGCGGCTCCCCACAGCTGCCTGCACAGCTCCTATCCCGACCTGGCTCCGGCTTCCGTCCTGGGGTGGAACCTTGGGGACCGAAGAGCGACAGCCGGGGCACGGGCTCTTGGGCCCCCCCACCCTGGGCAGGTGGAGGGTCGGCGACTCCCCAAAGCTGCCTGGGCTCCCCAAGTGGCTCTTGCCCCTGGGCCCCCCCATTCCAGTGCCCCTGTCCTGAGTGATTCATGAATGAGGGAAAGTTAGGTGTTCCCCCACCTAACTCGTCTGGAAGGCCCGATCCAGTAAGCATGGAATACTTTCAACATCAGATTAGAAAGAGAGAGAACAAGCATGAAAATGATAATGTAGCCTGATGGTTAGAGCACTCACCTGACAGATGGGAGGTCCTGGATTGAGTCCCTCTGCTCCAGTGACTTTTTTAAAAAAAATGATATATCCCTATTGGAACAGTTTCAACAGGAGAGACTGAGGGAGCTGCACATCAGAACATCCTATAGCCCAGTGGCTAGCACACTCACGGGAGAGGTAGCAGATCCCTGTTCAAATTCCTTCTCCCTCTCAGGTGGAGGGGGGACTTGAACTGGGCATCTCCCACAACACAGGTGAGTATCTTCATCACTGGGTTAAAAGTTATTAGGGAGTTCAGCACTTTCTACCCCAGCTTCTTGCTAAAACAGCATAGGTACCTACCACCAAGACAGGGTTTTCATCTGAAAATCCCAAGCAGAGGGAGGCACCTGCCTACAGCCTGGACTTAAGCATCTATCTCTGAGAAAGAGGCAGGGCTTAGCACCTCCCACTGGCTAGCTTAGGCAAGGAGCCTCCTAGTGTACTGGTTTTTGTGAATCCCATTCTAGAGATGCCTATCTCTCCCTATTCACAGGGAGTCTAAGCACCAAACACAGGGTTTGTGAATCCCAGTAATTTTCTTGACACCACCACTCCTACATTCCTTTGTGTATCTAGCCCCAACTTTACAAATACACATTAATGACGAAGTGTATTCAAAAAAATTCTATTGAGTGAACGTTTCCAAGTATAATTTTTCTAATTAGAGCATCATTACCCAAACGGAACATACCTTCATCTTCCCAGCAACTGTTTGTACTTCCCGCTTTTTCACTGTTTTCTGGTAATACTGTATGGTCTGTTGGCAAGTCATCTTCTGGCACGCTAGCATCACAATCTGCTGCATCTGTTACACTTTCCTCTTCCACAATATGCAATTTGTCTTCATCATCTGAATCTGAATTTGTTTCTACCACATTATTGTAATTGGTAACTGCATGGAGACAAAAAGCAAAAAATAAATCAACAAAAACACTCAGTTCAGACTGTAAATATGATTTCTTTAGAGGCATCACTACAGCACATCCAACATGTTTAGTGTAGGTGCTAAGCAGTTATTGTACATTTTTCTTTTAGAAGCTAGTATACACGAGTGGTGCATACAAGCCTAGATCACACTATACAAGCTCCAAAGAGAATTAAGGTTTTAAAACAAATAAACAAGCAAAACAAACAAAACAACAAGCCTAGTGGCAGCTTTACAAAGGAGATGTTACACAACATCTTCCCCTATCATTTGGTACCTGGAAAGAGTAAGAGTTTATGTTTGTTCAAACTGGAGGACATATTATAATAGTCTTGTGGAGAAATGGTTGTACAGTGAACATAAGAACGGCCATACTGGGTCAGACCAAAGGTCCATCTAGCCCAGTATCCTGTCTTCCAACAGTGGCCAATGTCAGGTGCCCCAAAGGGAATGAACAGAACAGGTAATCATCAAGTGAGCCATCCCGTCACCCATTCTCAGCTTCTGGCAAACAGAGGCTAGGGACACCATCCCCTGTCCATCCTGGCTAATAGCCATTGATGGATCTATTCTTCATGAACTTATCTAGTTCTTTTTTGAACCCTGTTATAGTCTTTGCTTTCAAACATCCTCTGGCAAAGATCTTTCTTGAGTGGTAACAGCTCATTTAGATCCCATCATTTTATATGTATAGTGGGGATTATGTTTTCCAATGTGCATTACTTTGCTTTCATCAACACTGAATTTCATCTGCCATTTTGTTGCCCGAAGAGGCAGTTTTGATCCTTTTGTAGCTCTTCGCAGTCTGCCTGGGACTTAACTATCTTGAGTAGTTTTGTTTCATCTGCAAATCTTGCCACCTCACTGTTTACCCTTTTCCAGATGATTTATGAATATATTAAATAGGACTGGGCCCAGTACAGACCCTAGGGGGACACCACTATTTACCTCCCTCCACTCCGTAAAACTGACCATTTATTCCTACCCTTTGTTTCCTATCTTTTAACCAGTTACCAATCCACAGGAGAACCTTCCCTCTTATCCCATGACTGCTTACTTTGCTTAAGAGCGTTTGGTGAGGGACCTGGTCAAAGGCTTTCTGAAAAATGTAAATACACTATATCCACTGGATCCCCCTTGTCCACATGACCCCTCAAAGAATTCTAGTAGATTGGTGAGGCATAATTTCCCTTTACAAAAACCATGTTGACTCTTCCTCAACAAATTATGTTCATCTATGTGTCTGACAATTTCGTTCTTTACTATAGTTTCAACCAGTTTGCCTGATACTGAAGTCAGGTTTGCTGGCCTGTAATTGTCGGGATCACCTCTGGAGTCCTTTTTAAAAATTGGCGTCACATTAGCTATCCTCCAGTCATTTGGTACTGAAGCTGATTTAAATGATAGGTTACAGACTACAGTTAGTAGCTCTGCAACTTCACATTTGAGTTCCTTCAGAACTCTTGGGTGAATACCATCTGGTCCTGGTGACTTATTACTATTTTGTTTATCAATTTGTTCCAAAATCTCCTCTAATGACACCTCAATCTGGGACAGTTCCTCAGATTTGTCACCTAAAAAAAAGTAATTGTTCTGTCTCCTCCTTGGACTTGATGTCTGTTTGTATACGTAGATGTAAATTAGACAATGTTTTCAGGCACGTAAATTCATAAATTACTGCTGTTCCGGTCAGGGATGGCATTTGAACCCTGGCTTATTGCTGTCCTTCACACCAGTGCTTCTCAACACTTACAGCAACTCTACTTTGCATAATTAGATTCACTGATCTCTGAAGATGAAGTAATTCAGGTTCAACAGATCAAATGGGCCAAATATAAGGATTTGGACAATCCAATTTTTAGGTAGAGCTGAATTTATTATAAATTTTCAAGCTCATAACAAATGAAAAGTTATTTAATGAACTATTAGAATGAGTGGGATATTTTTCTGTATATTTAAGCAGTTAAATTAATGCTAGTTAAAAGATTGCAGGTGAGAGTCCTTTAAAGAGTTGTTGTGTGGTGTTTATGTAAATGTGCCAAATAATATCATTACTGTAAAAGGATCCAACTTGGCTCCACTGAGTATGTGAAATTATTGTAACAGGAGTATCTGATGTAATTCCTTCCTACTGCCATTATCCTCTTTACACACTGGAATCAGAATAGAGAAATGTCAGGAAGATACAATTAAATAATTCTGGTTTGGTTTCTATTGTCAACTTAATGTAAGTCTTTTTGTTTTTCTTTTTATTAGTACTATCTTTCAAAACTTAATATACATAAAGTGTAATTGTTAGTACCAATAGAATAGAAAGGTCTTAATATGATAACATTATCACATTGTACATACACCAGAATGTGTGTTTGTGGGTTGTCATAGAAAACCTAAAACCATGAAGGAGTGGTTGCACATTACATTTTATGAAAATAATATTATGCATATATGAAATATGTGGTGATCATTTTAAATTCAAAAAGGTTGTTTTGTCATTCTGGTGCATATTTTACATGGAACATTTTTCTTCTGAAATGGAAGGAAATGAGTTAGTGGTTTGCTGATTTGCGGTGAAACTATTTCCTTGCCTAAATGCTTTTTTTAAATGGTTAGAATATTTACTTTTTTTTAAAAAGCGGAATTCAAAAGAGCAGGAATCTAGCCTCCCATTTATTTTAATAGGCAAAATTTCAAATGAGAGAATTAATCTACCTTCTGCAGTGCAAATAGCATAGATGTGCAAGTGTCCTAAGTAGTGAGATTACTGCATCATAGATATGATTCTTTTAACCTCTGGAGGAGTATTGCCGGTATAACAACATCTGTAGGCTTATTCATTGATAAATATTTGCCCTTTTTTTAAAATCCCCTCTCTCAATCAAGGTATGTCAGAGCACTTCATAATAATACATGAAAATCTGCCAGTGATTATTGATATGAGTATGTAGCAGAGAACCTTACACCAAAAAATATAAGCGTAAATAGTTTATACTGTAAAAATATTAAAATTTCAGTATGTGTACATTTGTTTCTACAGGTTATAAGAGAAAGAAATAATGTTTTTGAATAGAACAATTATAACAATTCCAAATTATAACATCTCCTCTGCATCTTTAGGACTATATTAGTGATATCTACCTCCATGTGATGGAAATACATAGAGCACTCAATGTTGATAAATGCAAAGTAATGCACATTGGAAAATATAATCCCAACTATACATATAAAATGATGGGGTCTAAATGAGCTGTTACCACTCAAGGAGGAGATCTGGGAGTCATTTTGGATAATTCTCTGAAAACATGCACTCAGTGTGAAGCAGCAGTCAAAAAAGCTAACAATGTTGGGAATCGTTAAGAAAGGGATAGATAATAAGATAGAAAATAGCATATTGCCTCTATATAAATCCATGGTATGCCCACATTTGAATACTGCATGCAGATATGGTCACCCCATCTCAAAAAAGATATATTGGAATTGGAAAAGGTTCAGAAAAGGGCAACAAAAATGATTAGGGGTATGGAATGGCTGCTGTATGAGGACAGATAAATAAGACTGGGACTTTTCAGCTTGGAAAGGAGATGACTAAGGGGACATGATAGAGGTCTATAAAATCATGACTGGTGTAGAGAAAGTAAATAAGGAAGTGTTATTTACTCCTTTTCATAACACAAGAACTAGGTGTCGCCAAATGAAATTAATTGGCAGCAGATTTAAAACAAACAAAAGGAAGTATTTTTTCACACAACACAGAGTCAACCTGTGGAGCTTCTTGCCAGAGGATGTTGTGAAGGCCAAGACTATAACAGGGTCCAAAAAAGAACTAGATAAGTTCATGATGGATAGATCCATCAATGGCTATTAGCCAGGATGGGCAGGGATAGTATCCCTAGTCTCTGTTTGCCAGAAGCTGGGAATGAGTGACAGGGGACGGCTCACTTGATGATTACCTGTTCTGTTCATTCCCTCTGGGGCACCTGGCATTGGCCACTGTCTGAAGACAGGATACTGGGCTAGATGGACCTTTGGTCTGACCCAGTATGGACGTTCTTATATTTTTATGTACTTTAATCTGACCTCTGTCTCCTTCTTGGTCATTTATTCTACCCATGTTTTAGTCTTCTTTGTAAACATAGAACCAATGCTGAGGAAAAAAGATACAAACATTTTAAAAATATTTTTGTAATTTTACAAATTAAGACCCTAATCTTTCAATGAGGCCTTTACCCACTTGGAGACTAATTGAATTTAATGGTGCTCTGCATGGGTGCAGAGGTCTGGTCACATGGTGCCCTACTGAATTTAATCAAACTTCACACAGATGTATTGGGGTCAGCCCTCATGGAGGTCACTGTGGGATCAGGAGCTAAAAATGCAATCATGATAACACCACAACATTTTTCCCAAAAAATAAAATAAAATAAAAATTCAGGTTGCTGGGGGGTTGTTTTGGTTTTGCTTAGTTACGTAATCAGTATATTAACTAGAATCTTTTGAAAATCAGGGATAAAGTGGTATTCAAATATGGAAAATGAAAAAAAATGTCTAATATACATGCCAGTTGGAGACATGCATATGTAAGTTTGTGTGTCTAACCTGCACAATAAAAAATTGTAAAAGAAAATGGTCTTGATTACCACTGTTTTTATATTTTAAATATAATGAATTCATAATTCTAATTATTTTGAAAGTTTCTTATGTTTTCACTACAATCATGGTTGGATTCAGTACAAACTTGGAATCGTTTCATCCCAACATTTGTGGAATGCTAAAATTAACAAAGATCCATTTTCAGAATCTAAACTAGGGTTACCATATCTTGAGTGTCGAAAAAGAGGACATTCCACGGGGCCCCGGCCCCGCCCTCAGCCCCGCCCACGCCCCAACTCCACCCCCTCCCCAAAGTCCCCGCCCCAACTCCGCCCCCTCCCCTGCTTCCCACGAACATTTGATTCGCGGGAAGCCTGAAG